TATATGAAATATAAAAAACGGGTCATCCTATTTATAAATCATGTTTGATACATCTTTCCAAAACGCTCCGTATACTTCATAATATTTTTAAAATGTCCTCTTTAAGGCACCGCTCGATGCCCTAATAAAATATGTATTTTCTATCTATATGACATAGGAGTAATATAATCACTATTAGTCCACCCTGTATGTATTGATTTAAGACAACATTTATAAATGAATATCTCTAATACAGGAAAACACTAAATATGCAGGTATGTGGATGTAGTGAACAATGGTTAAAATAGTAAACGGTTTATAACATTTTATTTTTAAAAAAATCTTCAATATAATTATTTAACTAACCAAGAAATGTTACAATACATTACATATCATTAATAAAATAATATTTTAAAAAATATCAAATGCAACTGGTATCAGATTAATTATTTACCCTATCGAATATATCAGAGTTTTTGGTGCCACGGTGTAGTATATCTCCATACCGCACTCCCAGTCCGAAACATTCCGTAATTATTTGTGGTGGGGCGCGATAGAATGAGAGCGACCCAACTAGTGGGGACTTTAAGTTGCCCTTCATTGTACCTACCTACCTACCTACCTACCTATTTGAAATGCTAGTACGGTTGAAAAAAACACTCATTCGTCCATTGCATTTAGTACAGTTGGGATCCGCTGCACTTTGATTTTGAAATCAATTGCAAAATTCAACAAGACAGCTGTTTCGCTTCAACGTTCGAACTGTCTCTAGTCCGCTAGCGCGTTCGTTGTCATAAAAGGTCGAGTATTTTTTTTTTTGATTTTCTGTCTTTATTAGGCCTTCCTAAGAGGTTTTTAAAATTAATGACATCATAACTGAATTACCCTTTATCAATGTAGGTTGATAGACAACGTACATAAAATATATATATCTCAAAGGGTTGGAAACCATCTACGGGTCTCACTTACTCCTTTAAGTCACACATTTTTCTATTCAATGTTTTTGCCTGGATTTTGTTACCGCCGGTTTTTGGGGTCGCTGATTATAAATGTGAAGTCCGCATCAGAAAACTTCTGAATAAAAGATGGCGGATCCAATATGGTATATGAAAAAGTCGGAAAAGCATTCAAATTTTGAAGATTATGGCTGAAACTTGTTACTCAGCGGTTTTGAAAATCGCTAATCATGAATATAAGGTTTTAATTCGGAAATTCTTAAATCCAAAATGGCGGACTCATTATGGCGGCCTAAATTTAAAAAAAGGTTAAATCTATACCTACTTGTTTTAAAGTGGTTTTGAATTACATTAAGTAATTGCCACTTGTAAATATGGATTAGGTATATATCATTTAACGAGGTGTCTGACGATATATCTGTTTATCTCATCTGCAAGTTCAGACTGGCAGATTAATTATTTCTAATATACAGTTTGTTTTAGTCTTTCACTGTAGCGATCCTAAATCTGCCGGTAAAACTTTATGTCTATATCCTGCTGGCCCTGCTATGAGAAATATACTGTTCTGTTATATTTTTATTTATGACAAGAAATCAGTCTTGTATGTCCAATGTCGCTATTGCACCCTTTATAACATTTTAAAATAAATTTAATAAAGAAACACAAATATTACCCAATGATTATTCCAGTCTCCATTAAATAAGGCCGGAGCAAAACTTCTTACAGGATTCATGTTGGCTCCTGTATAAGGACCCTGAAAAAAAAAAAACCGTGTATCAAATAAAAATTTATTCCATGTTTTAGGCGAAATAATTATTTTATAAAATGCCGTTTATTAAAATTATTTCTGGTTATTTTTAAAATGCTGTAGGTATTCATTTTAACAACTTACTGCTGCCATTGCTAGTACAGCAATAGCTAAACCAAAGCGTATTGCAACAGAATCATGTTTATCACTATTTTTGGCATCCCATACTCCACAACACACAAGGGCTAATATGAAAGATATCATAAATTCAACAAGAAATCCTTGCCCTACTGAGATATCTGGGTTAATGTTTGGAGAACATACTCCCAAAGTCTTGTACGTGGAATTTTGTACGTTACCCATCATTTCAGAAGGTGTTACTGCCTGAAAATTAGAACATATAATAAATAAATATTATATTTCTTCTTGAACCATCGTTTAATATTAAAATATATTTATTTTCTTGGGAATTAGGTTCTGGTGTGACGGTCGGTTAAAAAAAGGATAAAATAAACAGCAGCGATTTCTTTCTTGACGTTTCGTTCCTGATTAGGAACTTTTTGAAAATATTTTCAAATTAATTAATTAATTAATTAATTAATTAATTAACTTTTAACAATAAAAACCTTTTCAAAAAATTCCTGATCAGGAACGAAATGTCAAGAAAGAAATCGCTGCTGTTTCTTTTATCCTTTTCTTTAACGAACTGTCACACCAGAACTTAATTCTCAAGAAAATAAATATATTTTAATTTATATACACATAAATATACACTTGAAAAAATAAGTATAACTTCTTCGGAACTTGCTTATTTTGAAATATAAATATAAATTAAATTTCTTGATTTAGTGCGAAATGTCCATGAAAAAAATAGTTGTTTTACTTTTAAGGAATCGAGTTTCCAATAAATCCAAGTCTTAAAATTTTCTGATTCATTTAACACGTAAATCTACGGCCGAGACAGGTCGTTTATTGATCGAAGAGGGACATCTTTTCACGTAAATTTCTTGTTAGAGACTCTACCCCCCATGAGGAGGAGGGCAACCCCTCAAAAATCTTAATGGGGAAGGAGGGTTAAGTGACATCGTTTGAAAGCTATTCTAATTCTCTACACAACCGTGTTTTATTGTTGACCGACTAGTTTCGGAAATACAGGTTGTTAATAAAAAAAAGTACATTTTACAAATTTATTTGCAAATGATTACATGTCAACCAATTAAGTGCTCATGACCTCCAGCCTTCATACAATAACTTGGAAAGGGGTAAGGAATTATAAGGATATTTGATATATTAAAAGTGATGCATCAGAAATATTATAGTAACTCGACTCCGACTACATTATTATATGTCCTCAAGGTGTATATGATCATGTAAAGTCAGTCGGCTCCAGTAATGTGCTTACCTAATCCAACACCGCAGACGTAGCTATTTTGGAGGGACCCCTTAAAACGAATAAGGAAATAGTTTTTGAATCATACCTAAATAGCTCGGATTGATACTTGTAATTCATATATTTTTTCAGGATTTAAGATTTCTCATAAAGCAACTTATTTTTATTAATTAACCATTTACTAGTCCTTTCAAAAAATAATTAACTATTTCTACCTATACCTATCTCGGAAGTGTAATAAATTTTGATGTATTACAAAACGCCACAAATAAATAATTTTAAGTTTTAAGGTTCAATCATAATAAATAATTTGTTCCTTTAATTAGTTAAGTCACAAGCCCAAATTAATTAATCTACGTTAAATACACAGGTACACAAAAAATGTGGTATTTGTGAATATGCCTATAAGCCTATGGATAGGATTGTCGTGGGAGAAGCTGATCCGTATTCTGCATTACTGGATTTCATAACCCCCTCCCATATTTTGCGACCCGTTGAACAAAAATCTTAGGTTGAGACCAGCACCCACAATTTTCTCAAAATTCTCATTCAATTCATAAAACAAGTGTTTTTCGAATATATCAGGAAGGTATGCGATTTAGAGTAAAAGTGTGATATTTTTTTGAAAATGGATGCTACAAGAGTGCACCCTTTTGTCTTTAAAAGATCAATGTATTATATCTATTTATTTCTCCATCATATTGAGGTCCCACTTACCCCGGCAACTGTTTTCCATTCCATTTAAATCTTGGTGAAATCGTTCACATTGCTCTTAGCGATAGTTAACTAAATTATTGGGGAAGTAATCCGCGTAAAAGTCTTTAAATTTGCAATGTTTAAGTATCCAAGTTCTCTGAATCTTGTAATATTGACTTTTGTGGTTACCCAAAAATTTTCTGTTACATTTTTGTAGCTTTGCCGTTTCAGTTTCCAGTTTCATTCATTTTCAATATAAAATCTGCAATCTGCATCACACAATGTTTTACGATTTTTTATTTTAGCATCGCTGATCTTGGGAAAATTTCCTAAGACTCGTAACTTTCGCCTCCTAAACTACTAAAGGCTTAACGAATTGTTTCATTAATCTAAGTTTTATGTGTAGTGAACGAACCAGAACCTTAGACGGATCTAGTAGAAGCGCTTAAGTAACGTTAAAAGATCCTGGATTAAGAAATCTTCGATTAGGCCAAGTTTTTTGCTCATAGTGATTCTTCCTATCTCAGTTATCCCATAAACATAGAAAACATTGATACTTACTAAATCCTGCTGTCCTAAGATAACAGTAATGATTTTGAAATTTTCACTAATTCATCAATTGTGCTCTGAATATCTTATTTTTTCTAAGACAGTCATCATACTTAACCGCCTTTGCTATATAGTAAATAATAAACTGAAAAAAGAGTACTATCACCGGATCTCAAATTCGTACAATGTTGTTTGATGAAGATATTGTATTCAAGATGAATGAAATTTTAAAAATGTAACAGAAAACTTTTTGAGTAATTACATGAATCACAATTATAAAACTCTAATCGCGAAAATGGTGGACAATTTAAGAAAACTTGTTTAATGAACCTGAAACTGCACTTTATGGACTCTGAGGTGTATTACTTCCCCCCCAATAACTTAAATTACAATAGCGAAGAACAAGGTGAACGATTTTCCCAAGTTTTAATGGAAAAAGTTGTCAGGGTAAGTGGGGCCTGAACATGATGGGACGTTGGATATTGAAAAGAGAATGTAATGTTAGAGGTAACAAGAGAAATCAAACTCTTATCCTAAATAACATAACTTCCCTTCGCGGAACACCTTTTTTTGTTAATTGAGTGGACATTTCTTGGAAATTGATGGCTGATGGTGCTCATTCGACTTCAGATTCATGGTCCAAAAATATGGGGGTAGGGTTATGGAATCCAGTATAGGAACGAGCTTCTCCCACGACGTTACAATCCTTAAATATAATCGTAAATAACACATTTTTTGAGGATTTGGGACATTTCCTCAAAAATGGTGGGTGCTGACGCCAAACTTACTTCAGATTCGTATTCAATGCGCCAGAAAACATAACAATAATAGAGTTTGTTTAAAAGAACAAACAATTTTTCGTTTACGTGCCTGTAATATCTTCCGAGAATGAGTTATTTGTGTAGATGTAATATTATTCAAAAACTTCAATACCCCCTTGTTTCTCCAAAATTAGACAGTTTAGAATATATGTTCTTCTGTTTCTTAATATAATCTAAAGAATCGTCTTTTTTATTATCAGAAAATACTGTGACCTATTTATCATCCACATCAACCTATTTTTTTATTTGTTATTAAAAAAAAAAAAAATAAAAAAGATCGTTTTAAGAAAAACTCAAAATTGTTTTAATTTATCAAAATAGATATGTAATCTATTTTATTTATTTATTAATATATAAAATAGTTTTTAACAGTAATACATACAATTACGGTATTTTTGTCAATTAAACATTACAACGTTATTATTGTTACTACTATTATTACTATTGTAGAGAAAAGGCACAACCTCCAAAACTTTAGAAAACATTTCTTACAGTTCAAGAAATTTTTAAAAAAGTTGCAAATCCATCTGTGAATCTTAAACTAGTGAAAAATTGTATTTTTTTCTTAAAAAGGAAAACTACAAGGTGAAACTTTGAATTTGGGTCAGATTTATAAGGAAACTAACTTTCACATTTATACAAACATAAGTTTGTTTACTCAAATTCCGACGTGATTTTTTTCTCGTAATTTTCATATCCGCCGCTAAACAGGCCATTATAACCTCAAATAACTGCGTTTGTTAACTGTCAACCCCAAATTATACTCATCATCGTATACGTACATACAAGCAGCGGTTGGTGAAAACTGAAGTAGTCATATTTTTATTAAGGAATATGGGACTCATATCCGTATGTAGAAGATGATGAACATTTTTCGCGATGAAATGATTTCGAACGTTTGCGAAATAAGAAATTAAGATCTCGAAAAAGGTTGCGCGTATACGCAAAATATTTTTTCTCAGAGGATCTTCAATACCCCTCTAAAATCGACGCCACGTATAATACGTAGGTTTTGAGATAAATGACTCCAAGGAGTGGATGATAAATCTTTTTTTCATAATAATATGAATTTTCATAATATTTTTAAAACATTCCTTGAACATTTAAAATACTAATATCTAATAATAAATTGTTATCCCATTTTGATTTTCCCAGATAAAAAAGAATTTATAGTGCAATGCGCTTTATATTTTAAAGAAAACATTTTGTTGTCGTTACCTCTTACTTAATTATAGTAGGACCTACAAATTACTAAACATTCTCACCGTAAGTATACCAAATCCAAGAAGTGCACCTATCAACTGCCCCACAAAATAAACTGGCAATTGTATTAATGAAGTATTTCCTAAAGTTACTGCAGCTACTGTTACTAGTGGATTTATGTGAGATCCAGATATATGTCCAAATACCTGAAATAAAAATCAGTGCATTTAATTAATTTAATAATACAGGTATTTTTCCAAGTCTATTCATAAGTTCAGGAGGGTGTTGCTTGGATTAAAGTTTTTATGAATCGTAGACAAGCCGTTGAAAATAAAAATATTTCCTTTATCTGAATATATTTGGTTTAGGTTGATGAAATTCGTGCTGATGACATAATTAACAGCAACAATTCTTTACATTTATTTTTTGGCATAAATAAATTTAGCTTATGATTAACTAAAAAAATTATAATTCATTGTTTGTTCTTGTTGGACAAATTTGTTAGGCTTCTATTTCATTACTGTTTTTTTTTAAAGTTACCTTCTATTACCTGATATATCATAGACTTAGAAAACACCATGTAGTCAAAAAAAATTAAAAAAGACAGTCTTTCTAGTTTCTCTAAAATGGCAATTAAATAAAGCAATGTGTGAAAATTGTCGATAAATGTAACTTTTATCAAATGGTCTCATAGATTTCCCCACTTTTTTTTTTAATTATACAGGGTGTTTCATAATTGGATGTCAATATTGAAGGGTGTTAATCTGTGCGTGATTTTAAGACAAAAAGTTCATATAAACACAGGTCCGTTTTCGCTTTATTTTTGATATACAGGGTGATGAATATCTGTTTGTAAAATTGTTTTTTTTTTAATAACTCCGAAACTAAATTAGATAGTTTTATAAAACTTAGTATGTGTAAACTAGGTGCAGAGACACGTCTTTTGCATAATAAACGAATTTTCATTTTTAACCAGTGGCGTCCCAATTAACTTCAACCTCATTATTTTGAATGAAAAAAATGATACGCCACTGCATTTTTGAAAAACAAAAATTATTGTATAAATGGTGCTTTATTTTGTAATAAAAAAGATCTCTTGAGTTTTTTTCTTATCTTGCACTGTTTTTTAGTAAAAAAATAAAGAACAACATACTAACCCACATTGAGCCAAACAGAAAGCATGATATAAAGATTACCTAGTAGGCTGTGGTTGTTGATTACTGTTGTGATTTATTAATTTTGACAGTTCAGTTCATTCAACTCAATTTTGATACTTAAAATACCTGTACAGTGTTATTTGATAATGGTTGAGTTTACTAATCAAGAGTTGGCAGACATTCATTACATGTATGGCTTGGCTGATGGCAGAGCGCCAGAGGCTAAACGATTATATCAAGAGCGTTTCCCGAATAGAGTCACACCAGATAGACGAACATTCTCAAACATACATAGAACGTTGGCTGAAACAGGTACTTTTAAGCCAAATAATCAATTAAAAGGTGCCCATCGGACTACTAGAACTCCAGAAGTTGAAGAAGCAGTTTTAAATTCAATTGATGAAAATCCTAATATTAGCACTAGACAAATTGGAAATAACTTGAATATCTCGCACATTCTAGTTTGGAGAATTCTTCACGATTTTCTGTTATACCCGTATCATATTCAACGGGTCCAAGCCTTACTTCCTCGAGATTTTCCTTTGCGAATCAACTTTTGTCAATGGTTTTTGGAGAAAATTGCGCAAAATCCCTTGTTTGACTGTGAAATAATGTTTACAGACGAAGCTAACTTCTCTAGAAACGCTATAAGAAATTTCCATAACAATCATGTTTGGGCCGAAGAAAACCCGCATGCAATTGTGAACTTTAACAATCAAGAACAATTTTCCGTGAATGTTTGGGTTGGAATTGTTGAAAATCACTTAATTGGACCTTTTTTTCTGCCACAAAGGCTAGACGGCCGTACATATCGTCGGTTTCTAGAGGAGGATTTGCCCGTATTACTTGAAGAAGTGCCACTTTTAACTAGAAATAGAATGTGGTTCATGCATGATGGTGCACCAGCTCATTTCCATCGAGAAGCAAGAGAATATTTAAATCGCACATTTCATGACCGATGGGTAGGCCGTGGTGGACCCCAACAATGGCCCCCCAGGTCCCCAGATTTGAATAGTGCGGACTTCTTCTTATGGGGGCATCTGAAAACTCTGGTTTACAACACTCCGGTTAACACTGTAGAAGACCTGAGGAATCGCATAAGAGCTTCCTGTGATGTAATAAGGAACACTGACAACATTTTTCAAAGAGTCCGCACTAATATGAGAAGAAGAGCTGAAGCATGTATCCTTGCAGGTGGAGGGCATTTTCAACAACTGATGTAATTGTTTGTTTTTTTCGTTTCACAAAATTGTTATTTGTTGATCGTCAATCGTAATTATTAATAATATTATACAATAATGTGTATAAGTTATCTAGTAAAAGAATTATTTCCATAAAATGTGTAAAAAGTACTTCATTCCACGTACAGATAATTATTGTTGTTCTTTATTTTTTTACTAAAAAACAGTGCAAGATAAGAAAAAAACTCAAGAGATCTTTTTTATTACAAAATAAAGCACCATTTATACAATAATTTTTGTTTTTCAAAAATGCAGTGGCGTATCATTTTTTTCATTCAAAATAATGAGGTTGAAGTTAATTGGGACGCCACTGGTTAAAAATGAAAATTCGTTTATTATGCAAAAGACGTGTCTCTGCACCTAGTTTACACATACTAAGTTTTATAAAACTATCTAATTTAGTTTCGGAGTTATTAAAAAAAAAACAATTTTACAAACAGATATTCATTACCCTGTATATCAAAAATAAAGCGAAAACGGACCTATGTTTATATGAACTTTTTGTCTTAAAATCACGCATAGATTAACACCCTTCAATATTGACATCCAATTATGAAACACCCTGTATATATAAATTTCTTTTTGTCACATTTGAGTAAAGTAGGGCAGGAAAATATATCTATTAATATATTATACAGCGAAAAAAATATATAGAAAAAAAGCAACTTTTTATTTGCAAAAGTGCATGGTGTCCGTATTTTCGAAACGTTTAATACGTTAAAACTAAAATAAATAAAAAACTTGCATAAATATTAAACTTAATCGTTTTCGAGAAGAGGCCTTTTATGTGAAACTTTGCGAAATTGAAAATCAAAGTTTTGTTTTAAGCATAATAATCTCCTCCTTCTCCTAATATAATCTTATTTTATGAAAAATTATGAAATAAGGTAAAATTTGTGATGTTTTTGTTATTATTAGTATAAACGATATTCAATTGTGATTTATTTTTTGTTGTTTTATTGTTTCCCAAACTGCACTCTCTCCATATATTGTCAATCGGTAATAGCTGATGTGTTAAATTTATTGTCATCAGTTATCCGTTGATTAGAATGTGATTGTTTATCGTGTCTTTTTGTGGTTTCTACCAGTATTACGGATGATAGATTTGTATGCAATAATTTTGTTTATAATATTTTCAGCATCATACCTATGTAAATATCACATGTTATTTATTTATGGAGATGCAAAGTGTAACTTTTATAAAGTATAACGTATTTAAGGTAACCGGTGTCCATATAGATGTTTATCACACACTGGGTCATTTGCTATAGAGTTTCGAATGTTTTAGATACTGGTAGTACAATTCCTCGCCGTTAACAAGGACTAAAAGAAAAGATTTCTATACAATTCCGATGCAAGCAAACTGGTATATCTAAACTAAAACACTAGTATATAGATTATTTAAACAACCATTGTACCTCATATCATGTTCAACGAGAGCAAGTGGTAGGTAACCACAGCAGACAAAATTTTTGTAGGAGGTTTTTAAAATCAAATTGCAATTAGTTAATCGAAAAAATAATAGTTGAGGTTTCTTTTGCACACCACGGAATTTTCAATTTTCATAATGCGTATCGCTGGGATGATGATAAATCAGCATTATGTTCTGCAAACTTAATTTTCAACACAATCCTATAGGTATAGTAGGAAATTATTTATTCGAGCCATTTATTCATCCCAGAAGATCAACGGGAATTTATTTGCGGAACGTTATATTGGAAAAAATGAACCAGTTTGTTGGCCGGCACCGGGTATTAATCCATTTTTATTAGTGGTGCATTAAAACGTTAATGTATTTTAGTAAAATTGAACACGAATAGAACTGTACGAGATAATTGGAATTTTAGAGTACGCTTCTGTTTAGAATATTGTGGTAGACATTATAAGCCATTTAATTTATTAGTTTTTGTTTAATGCAATATGTTTATATTTTTCCGAAAAAGGTTTTGGTATTTACAATTTTACGCTTAATAATAACGATATGCTGTTGCCAAATAAAATAGAATCTTTGAAATGAACAGACTTATGTCGCATAAGATTTTTGATTTTTATTTTGCATCTTACATATTGAATATACAGCACTTATATTAATTTCATTATCAACTAAAATAAATGAAATGCTCCAATGAAACATTTTTTACCAAGAAGTAGTTTGCAATGTTCATATCTGTCAAAAATCTAAAAAAAATATGTATCATACATTATCAAATAAATATAAACTTTCTTAAAAAGTAAAACATTTGTTTGTAAGCGTTGAGAGGTGGGATAAGAAAATGAATATTTTACTTTACACCTGTTTTACATTTGCCAATTGTGGACGCAATAAATTGCGGGCTTTGATAAGCTGGACAAGAAACTATACCATAAGAACTGGTTCTAATGTACTGGCCATCTTTAGTAGCAATTCAATGTCAATTTTAGTTACATTATACAATTTTGACACTTATTTTAAATGTTTGGAAAATAGATCTATGTTAGATACGAGCGTTGCCTTTTATATTTCAAAAACAAAACAAAAAAAAATGAAATTTTTTATTTTTTCAAAATATTCATCATGAAAATCAATACACTTGCATGCGCTTGAACCAATTTTCGAAGCACTTTTTCCAAAACATGCAATTTGGACAGATCAACCGCTCGTTCAGGCGTTGAAAAACGTTTACCTCGTAATTTATTTTTATATTGATGTGCGGGAATAAAAAAAGTCATTGTGTGCCAAATCAGGGCTTTACGACGGATAACTCATCAATTCGACTATTTTAGTTCTCAAAAAGTCTCTTGTTTGAGTCGATGTGAGAGAGCTCGCATTGTCCTGGTGTTAGTTTCTCTTATCTTTCGAAACGTTGTTGGCAAATAAATGGTTGTGCACCATTCAGAATTGACCGTCCGACGTTGCAGTAATGGTACAGTTACCACATGTCCGATTTTCCAGAAAAAACAAACAACCATTTGCATATAACTGTTTCGTGTGTGAATAACTTTTTGATTATTATCTTGCAATATCAATTCATTCACAGCATTAATGTTTTCCGGAACAACAACCGATTTTGAACGGCCTTCACGAAATTCGTCAGTGCGCGAACCACGGCCACGATTGAATTCCGTATACCTGATATACAGTGGTTTTTGATGGTGCTTCATCGCCAAAAGTTGAATTAAGTTTATCGATGCACTGTTGTTTAGATAATTCACGTCGAAAGTCGTCGCATGGAAATGTTTACGAATTAATTCCATTTTTTGGCCGAGATGAATTTTTCAAGTAACTATAAATACTTAACACAAATAGCGCTTGTACGACAAAACGTAAGTAAGTATATCGATAAAAAGTCGAACTTTACGATAAGGACGTCGGTTGTCAGAAGGCAGGACCACGATCATCATCAGTATTTTGCACTTTCTCAGTGTTTCGTAGACTGATTGTAAATGTACAAAAATAAGGGGTAACGCCACATTAGAGGTTGGATAAAAAAGATGATCTTCGGTAATTTTCAAGGAAAAATCGATACAAGTTTTAGTGTCAGGAACACAAAGGCTTTATTATATATGTTTTCAGGTAACACTGTGATTTGGACTCAAAATGGCGGCTGTAGCAACGACACCTTTTTTTCAGAGGGCTGTATGACTGGAAGGGTTTTTTACTAACGGATGGTCTTCGAACAAAAAAACAAACATTTTCTAATATTATACAGGGTGTTAATGAATAGGTGTTACAAACGGATATGGTAAGTAAAAAATCCAAAAATAAGTGCAGTTTACTTAATAAACATATGTCCTAAAGCGGCTCATTTTCGAGATACAGGGCGTTGAAATTTAAAAATAAAAAACTATATTTTCCTGTAGCTCCGGTATTAGTTAATATTTCTTTATCAAACTCAACAGACAGATTTACTAGCTTAAAGGATGCATAAATATGGCAGAAACAATTTATTGGCTTCTTCTAGTGGCGTGCGATAGTTGTCGTTTCACCTTTTTTCCCCCCTAAATTGTGCGGCACTGTACAAATATTAGTTTTTCGTATGTTTTTGAATTTGCTAGTATTTTTTACGTAAATAATGTATACTTGTTAGACTTCCATAAAATGAGTATTATCAAGTTATTAACATTTACATTACTGAGGTCACCTTATGCTCCAAAAACTATGTTTTTCTATGCTATGCTAGTTTTCGAGATACAAAAAGTTAAAGTTGTTTAAAAGGTATTTTTATTTTGCACAAAAAAATTACAGTAAATGCTCAAAATTACGGCCACCAGTAGCGATACAAGCGTTAATTCTTCGAAGCATATTTGTGTACATTCGGTCAAAAGTGCCAGGCGTCGTTTCGATCTCCTGCGCTGCAGCTAGAATGCGTGCTACCAAATCTTCTTCTGACTCAACAGGAGTTTCATAAACTAGACTCTTCATATGGCCCCACAAATAAAAGTCAAGCGGGGTCATGTCTGGGGAACGTGGTGGCCACGCCATAGGTCCTCCACGGCCAATCCATCTTACACCGAATTGTTGATTAAGGTGATCTCGGACAACAAGCGAAAAGTGCGCTGGCGCACCATCATGCTGCAGCCACATTTCCTGTCGAATGTTCAATGGCACATTTTCTAATAATTCTGGAAGTACTTGTTGTAGGAACGTTAAATAAATAGGACCTGTAAGACGATTTGGAAGAAGGTGCGGACCAATTAAGCGCCCGTCAATTATACCAGCCCAGACATTGACGCCAAACTTCTGCTGAAATCTAGTGGAGCGAATGGTGTGAGGGTTTTCTTCAGCCCAGACATGGTTGTTGCGAGAATTAAAGATCCCTTCTCGTGTGAAGGATGCTTCGTCTGTAAAAAGCACAAACCGCGGAAAATTTGCTTGCAACTGACACTGTTGAAGAAACCAATGGCAAAAGTTTAGTCGTGGCTGAAAGTCGGCGGGAGTTAAAGCTTGAACCTTTTGTATATGATAAGCGTGAAGCTGTTGCTCGCGTAAAACTTGCCAAACGCTTACATGGTTTACATGCATATTCTGAGCAATACTTCGACTGCTGGTGGATTGGTTTTCTTCTATCCTATTAAGAACTTCTTCTTCGAACCTTATCGTTCTGCGGTTTCTCCTTACCCCGCAGTTAACCCTATTTGTTGTAAAAGTTCCTGTTTCCTGCAACCTGCGAAACACTCTTCCAAATATCTTATGTGAAGGGGTTGGACGATTTGGAAATCGGATTGAGTATAACCGACGGGCAGCCCTGCCATTACAACGCGCTTGACCGTACATTAATATCATGTTTGCATAATCAGCAGAAGTATATTCATTCATGATGTATGAATGTTTTAAACGAATGGATAAAGATATCTATCTAATAATTAAAACTTACAAACTAAACTTTACACTAAAATAACAATAATAATTAAAAACTGCCTCGTTTCACAATCGAAAATAATTTGACATTAAAATACAAGTAATGTCAACGGCAAATGTTTTTTTTCCAACATTTTAAACTTGCTTGAGGAATACGGAAACCTTGAATGTTTTGTATCTCAAAAAGAAAAAGCGACACATGTATGCATTTACTAAACAATTTCGTGAAAAATTTACTCAACATGTCACTTTTTAAAAATTTTTGGTTTTTGGAGCATAAGGTGACCTCAGTAATGTAAATGTTAATAACTTGATAATTACTCATTTTATGGAAGTCTAACAAGTATACATTATTTACGTAAAAAATACTAGCAAATTCAAAAACATATGAAAAACTAATATTTGTACAGTGCCGCACAATTTAGGGGGGATAAAAGGTGAAACGACACCTATCGCACGCCACTAGAAGAAGCCAATAAATGGTTTCTGCCATATTTATGCATTCTTTAAGCTAGTAAATCTGTCTGTTGAGTTTGATAAAGAAATATTAACTAATACCGGAGCTACAGGAAAATATAATTTATTATTTTTAAATTTCAACGCCCTGTATCTCGAAAATGAGCTGCCTTAGGACATATGTTTATTAAGTAAACTGCACTTATTTTTGGATTTTTTACATACCATATCCGTTTGTAACACCTATTAATTAACACCCTGTATACTAAAAGCTAGGGAACGTCACAGAAAATTTAAAAAAATATCTAAAGAATGAAGACGAAAAATTTTGCGTTAAATTGTTAATAACAATGAAAGTTATTAATCAATCGAAAACACACCTACGATGTTCCCTAAGTTATGTTATTGTGAAGCTCTGTGCAAAATTTCAAGTCAATTCGTTGAAAACTTTTTTAATTATGTTTTCGGCTAGTGAAAAAAAAGAGTTTCTCGAAAAACTATTTTAAAATTTTTGTTGCCATTCAGAATACCTGCACCATATAATTGGCCTTCTGTATTGCTATATTCCTAATCCTCATCTTTTCGGTACTCAATTTAGTCTATAATAGCAATCTATTGCGCACGTTCTCACGAGTTAATATTATGCACTCCTGCAGGTCGTGCTCCATCTTGAACAAAACTCGTGTTCCCGATTTTCCCCACACCTAAAACTTTTTTCTTTATTCTTCACACAATAAAGCATTGTTGAAACCATTTATCAAAAAATCGATTTTTTTCAAAATTCTAGAGTATGTTTTCCCCTTAATAGAACATTCATTAATATTAAATCTATTTTATTACCTGCACTGAAACCATCACAGCTAAACCGAAAGTCAGAGATATTTGTTCATGAGGAATAGAGCCTCCAGCTATGGCAGTGACACATCCCATGCATCCTAAAAACACTAAAATAGCCGTTGCAGCCAATTCGGATAGAAACACAATCGCTCTATCCTTTGTAGTCAGGTTGTCAGTAAGTTGGATTATTTTCTTTCCTAAAATTATGTTTATATTGGATATTAGATAAAATACTTTTTAAATAGCATACTCCCTATAACTTTTATAGGGACTGTCTTGTTAATATCAAGTTTGACACCGTCGTTTGGTAAAGGGCATGATGCTCTGATGAAAGCAATATTGCATTGTCGCCGGATTACTACTTTCAATTACAGAAATATATTCAAAATAGTGCACAATTGTGTAAATAGCACAATAAAGAAATTATTATTAATACAAAAAGATAATTAAAAATATACGGGGTAATTCATAACAAAAAATAAAATTTCTGTTACATCTGAAAAAATTTCAATTTGATAATGCAATTGCTCTCATTAATAGACCATTTTATTCTTGGATGTCAAATTGCAAACTAGACAATCCGTATATATAAAAGTCACAGAGGGTATTATGCAATTAAAAAAACAATGTATAGTACATTGGAAAGTGTCATTAGAGGAACATTTTTGCAGGTATATTTTATTTTTGTGTTATGCGCATTTAAAAGGAATTACGAGCCCAGGCTCATAATAGTTCGGCCAGCCAACGTTTTTAATTAAATACTTGAATAAATTACACATTCTACCAAAATGATGAAAGATTTCCTTAAAACTACCTCACTTGTAATAAAGTATAGACTATCAATTTACTAAATTTAATCACTTTTGACAAAATTCAAATTGAGGAAAACATAGTTAACAAAAATGCAATCCAACCAATGGGTCATTATAGTTCGGCCTCTTATCATATCTGCCATGAAACTGATATAAGTTCTCCAAAACAAAACACATACTGAATAATTCAACAAAAGGTCTGTCATTATTAGTTTTACTCACGTTTTGCTTCAGATTTAACGTAAAATGCCTCGTGGTAAACCTCTAAGTAAAGATTTACGAGTTTCTATTATAAAAGCCCATGAAAAAGGTATTTCGGCCCGCCGAATATCAGTTTCTCATTCAATTCCGCGTTCTACAGTGCAAGATATTATTAATTTATACAGAAGAACCGACGGAGTCGACCAAAAAGTCAAAACCGGCCGACCATCTATAATTACAGAAGCAAATTAAAGAGCTTTACGCAGAATAGTAAAAAGAAATCGGCGGTCCAATACTAAAGAAATAACTGCACTATGGAGGGACAGTATAGCAAAGCCTATTTCAATGTCCACAACGAAAAGAACTATTCGAAAAATAGGATTCAAGTTTTACAAGGTAACTTTTTATCTTTTTTTTCTTGTTTAAATTCTTGGCAATTTTTTATTTTTTTCAAATAGGCAAAAGAAAAACCTCAATTAACAAAACTGCAGAGGAGAAATAGGTTAAAATGGGCACGAGAACATAAAAATTGGACGAATCAACAATGGCACAGCGTAATTTGGAGCGATGAGTCAAAATTTGACGTTTGTGTAGGTGACACACGAAAACGGGTTTTGCGTACACCTTCAGAGGCCTATCATAGCGATTGTTTAGTCAAAAAAGTAAAGTTTCCAGCATCTGTTATGGTCTGGGGTTGCATGTCTGGTAGAGGTGTTGGTAAACTGCATTTTGTTGATGGAATTGTTAACGCGCAGAAGTACAGAGATATTCTGGAAGAGAGTCTGTTACCATCTGTTGAGATGTGTCAAACGGCGGAAGGGCATTTCATATTCCAACAAGGCGGTGCACCGTATCATACGGCAAAAACTATTAAAACGTGGTTGCAGAATCATCAAATACCAGTATTAAAATGGACGTCTTCCAGCCCAGATTTATCTCCTATTGACACCTTATGGCACAATATGAAAAAACAGCTTCGGAAACATCCAGCACGTTCAGTGCCTGAATTAAAAGTCACAGTACTGAATATTTGGGATAATATTCTACCAGAAGAATGTGCTTTGTTAGTAAATACAATATCTAGCAGAATTAAAGCAGTTATTAAAAACAAAGGCGATGTAACTCAATATCAAAGAGTGGCCGAACTTTTATGACCCCTGAGACGGATACAGTTTTCTATTGTGTAACCATTAGTCGATATATGTATTGATTAAAATGTTCATTTTTGTAACTAAAAAGTTTATATTTTACTGTAGTTAAAGCGATTTTCAGAAATATTTCGTTATTTCTGCATAACTCATAGATTATTAAAGTATTTAGTTGAAAACGTTGACCGGCCGAACTATTATGAGCCTGGGCTCGTAAATTTTATAAATAAAATAATCAATGCTATGTATAAATGTCAAATCCTGAACGCCGTTTAGGTTAGTTTAGGGATAAGACTTGACTCGACATTTGCACCTATTTGTTTTACATTTTTGGTCATAACTTCAATTGAAATGTAGTTCTGTTTCTTGGTTAGTCAAAAAAAGGCCGTATCTCGTCTATAATTATGTATAATGGCTGGCTTAGTTACAATTAAACCCGAAATTCAGTTGATAGTAAAATTATTTAGAACTTAAGCACTTCGGTTTGTCCATTTCGCTAAATGACCTGCCTTGGGTATAAAATGAAATATTTGTCTTTCAAATTAAACTTCCCTTGCCCGATACAGCAGAGTTACAGCTATAATTTCTTGAGATATTTGCAATTTGAATTAATTTTCAAAAATGTTTTCGTCAATGATGCTACTGAATTAGTTTATCTCTGAATATAAAATAGTTAAATCAACAATTCTGACATTGTACTCGTATGTCTTTATTTCCACTAAAAGGTACCTACTAATTTCCTCCGCTCGCTGCTTCCTCCACTACCGCTACCCGACTCTGGCTCGAGCATACTTTCGATCGTTTCAGGCGACTTTTAAGGACATTTTTAGCATATTTCCCATCACCCAGGCGAAAATCCGAGATATACAAATTGGAGATTTTGTCTTCTACTTTCAGATGCCGTTTTCAGAATTTAATTCGGACCATTTTTAATAAATCGCCACGCTGTGCAAAAAAGGCCCTAATTGGTTTATAATGCAATTGTGCAAAAACTATGCATCGGAGAGAAACCATCTTGCGCACGATTAAACTACATATTATTATCTGTCATTTTCGCAAAATTGTTTTTCCAGCTTCAAATTTGAATTTTTGAAAAAAGGTCTATTTACTGTGCCGTATCTGTTTATGCTCTTGCAGCTACTGTGCATGGTTCTTTGAGCCCGCACTAGCCTTTCCAGCCAGCGGGGGCATATGAAAATTATATTAAAAGTAAACTATAAATGTTAGAACATAAATCCAATATTCACGATGGAATTTGACAAAATAAACTATGATATGGACTACTAAAGGTTCAAAGTTAACTCCCCTACAAATGTGACCCTCATTCAGAGTTACACATATAAATCTTACTGTTTATGATATAAAGACGTATAACGACCTTAAGATAAATGTTTGAAAACGAAAAAAAATCGCAATTTCTCAAAAAGTTGCAACTTTAACCATGGACACCGGACAGCACCTGTGTTCGACAAAATATGGATTGATTTCATATAATATGGAACTAAAAACTAAACTTGGTAGGTATATTATTTTTACTTAATTTTAAAACACTGCAAAAATATGTGTTCATTTGTCTTACAAAAAAGTTATGGAAATTTTTGCAAACTCTTGCAGCAGTCAAAAACACTATTCTCAAAACAGTTGAATTTAGTTATGGTTTTTTAGTCTTTAATCTGCAAAATGTTGGTCGACTTAAATGACGAAGTCGATAGCTATTTCCGATATAACTCTAAGGAACCGGTAACTAACAGTATTATATTAATACTAGAAAGACCCGGCAAACGTTGTTTTGCCATATAAATTATTCCTAGGATTATTTTAGTAGATTTTTCATAAAGAAATTTCACTTCTACCATCTATATTATATTTAGTGTTATTCAGTGTATATCGTGTATATTTTTTTTATTAATGTTAATAGGAAACGTCACTATTACGATTGATGCACAAACAATAATAATAGTGGCCGAAAACTGTAGAGAGTGAGAAACGACTTATTGTGTGAGAGAGATCTCATCCCTACTCCGTTCTGTTTACTGGGTCAGAAGTGACACCGGTCGACGCCTGGCGGGGATAAAAAATGATCAAGTGATAATTGATCAGTTATCGACCGGGGTTGAAAATTATTGAATTACTAATATCGCTATTAAAAAATAGGGGTTGATGGTAGAAGGGTGAAAATTTAGGATTGTATGTATTTTTTAAAGCCACATCATAAAAAAATAAAAATAAAAAATTTTGTCCAAAAAATAAAAAAAAAAAAATTTGGGGTGGACCACCCTTAACATTTAGGGGTATGAAAAATAGATGTTGGCCGATTCTCAGACCTACTCAATATGCTCACAAAATTTCATGAGAATCGGTCAAGCCGTTTCGGAGGAGTACGGGAACGAACATTGTGACACGAGAATTTTATATATAAGATTAATAAACCGTACAGCCACACTACAATTAATTATGTTCTTTTTTTATATTTGAAATTAAAATTTTTGCGGTGTCTGGTTGTCGCATCTACAGCACAATCGATATGTTGTTGTGCTTATAATATAGTCCCAAATGCTCTTTGTGACCAGTGATTCAGGAGCGATTGTCACTAGTTATTAGTGTCGATTTAAAAATTGATAAGGTACTAAATTGCTATTATTTAGGTGAACGGGTAGAGGATTTTGTATTTTAAATGCAATTTGTAATTAACATATTTTGTTTATTTTTTTTAAATATCATAAATTGTATGTAAAAAAACTCTTCTGTAGATAAAATATAACTATATTTTGAAATTACTTGGCGTCGGATAACATTTGTGAGAGTTTACGCATAGAACGAGTCGTTTCAGTTGATTAAATTTAGTGGATTGCAGATTTACACTTAAGCACCTAGCATGATAAAATAATAATGAAGTATGCTATTTATTGATTTTATTTTATAAGTATTATAAATGTTTAGGTATACAGGGTGTCTGGTAATAATATGGCATACTCTCGGGAGTATATAGGTATGGCGAGTTTAGTCCACCAGGAGATTGTTCTTTAAATAATTTTA